TACTCACCAGCGTGTCACTGCCCACAGCCTTTGCAGGCGAGATGCGAGCCACAACCACTTCGCTCCAGCAGCACAGGTGCAATACCACACTGATGACTTCTTCTAAGAACACTAACTTGTTGCACTCATTCAAATGCACACTCACAAAGAAGCACCAAGGAGGGCATAAGCCCTTGGGCCTTATGCACTGTGCGAGGCCCGATATCCAGATTATATTTCATAAAATCATTTGGTAAACAGATGGTCAACTCCATCCTGACAGCATGGAGAAACAGTTAACAACCCTCTCCTCATCCACAATGTTAAAGCACCACCCGCTCCCATTTTTTAAGCCTTTTTGTTTTTTAAGAAAACATGTTCCTTATCACTTTTTGCATCAGCTCTCCCTGGATGCAAACAAAACACTGCAGAATCTCTCTACATAGCAACAGAAGAAAATGCCACTAGTGCCCCTCAGAGACTCCTTCACATTCAAGGCATGACAGCCTGCTTACAGGATTCTTAGAGAATCCAGTTACCCATCTTATGCCCAGAAGTTGCCCATAAGCTTTTTATGGAAAAAAAAAAAAAGCTGTGCTCATGAATCCTGTACCTTATGTTCTTCTGGCATAAGACGACATCAAGGTCCTGAGATCATGACCCTCCATACCCAACTGTCGATTAGGTCTTGAGTCAAGCAGGCAGCACCCTGTGTGCTCAGCATGGCTCCCCAGGCATCCTTGAGACAGAATGCAGTCAAAGCCAGCCTTTTGCACGGCTCATCACCATGAGGGGCTGGCCTCGCTGTCCTCAGCTCCTTGACAGATGCCATGGTTCTAGAGAAGGTCATTCCTCTCCTGGATCATTCAGCCACCTGGGAAACAGCTTGGTCACCTGCCTGGACAGCCCTTGGGGCAGTCTGCTCACTTTAGGATGGAATTGCCACCGCACACATGGTGGAGCTTGCTGAGTGACTGCTGCTTTTTCTCTTGACAAGGATGTCCCTGAAAGACAGTACCTAAGACTCAGCACAATCGGCCAAACTCTAGATGGAAATCTTAGCGCTGGACGCCCTCCAACCCTCGCCCTTCTCTGCACATGGTTGGAGCAGTTTCTTCATTTATCTCAAGGATGAATCAAAGTAACATGTCGCTACACACAGGCGGAACACAACAGGAAGAGTCGCCGTACCTACTTCTTTGTTCCACACACTTGATGGTGACCATATCACTCATTTCACTGCTCGAAAGATGCCAGGCTAGGCTCTTGAGCAAACCATTCAACAGAAATTCCATGCAGTTTTGAGACCTAAGGCTGCAGGCCTCTTAATTAAACATATTGGCTAATTTAAATATATGACTTAGGGTTGAGATTTTTCATGTCAGGTCACCATCAACTAGGGAGTTATCTACATCCATGACCATGGTGTGATGCTAGGTTCACATAGTTTGGAGTCTGGCAGTAGAAGTGGCCTAATTTTCTAGCAATTCCAGTCCAATCAAGAGAAAAGCAAACACGAAAGAGGTTCTGACCACAGTGAAGAAGATATGGTTTGGCCTCCCTGGAGAGCAGAGTCGCTCTTGGGTTGGTCAGTCTGGTGAAGGCTGGTCTGGCGTTGTGTAAGTAACAGGTCACTGTCTACAGTGCATGTGGGGGAGAAGGTCAGACTGCAGGTGGTGGCATGGGGGTGCTGTCAGAGTCCGATCCTGGTGGGCGCAGGAGGCCTTCGGAGCACGCAGGTTACCCGGAGGCTTGCAGAATGACAGGAGAGCACATGGATCATCACACAAGGACTTCAGATTCTGAGTCAAGAGTACTGCCCCCAAAGCAATCTCCCAGCCCAGGCTGCAGAGGCACAGTGTCCAGAATTCACAGCTGGGGCAGGCCTTGATGTCTGTCCTCGTGCTCGCCACACTCAGTCCCTCCAGCACTGGACACAGCGAACGAGGTGCTTTCTCCTGAGAACAAATCCGTGCAGTGAGCTCCCCCAAGGAAGCTCCATATCCTGCTCCCTTCAGAGCAGAAATACCTAAAATAATTAATCAGTTTACTACAGATATCCACAGAAGAGTGGACTGGGGCTGAAACTGATAACTGACATACAGGCTATCCGACTCTTCAGGGATGAGAGGGGCCAGGTCAGACAGCTCCCATCCCCTAAGAAATATGTGACCTCATTGATCAGAGATTCTTGCTCAAGGAGAGGAGAAACTAAAGTACATAGTCAAGAAGAGAAACGGTGACTAGCAGGATGACACGACTGCCTACAAGGTTAGTGACTGACCATATTCTGACCTACTGCCTTTACGTTAAGAGCCCCCCCCCACACACAAAATTATTTAAGAATCATTGGCAGACATCATGAAAGTCAAGTGGATTCAAGTGGCCAGGAGGCCAGTGGCAGTGGATACTAGAGTGCTTAGCAAAATCCAGCCCCTCCCTTCTCCAGGACTAAAGTGTTCATTTCCCAGGCGCTTTGAGCATTAGTGATTGCTGCCTCACAGCTGGTCACCCTCTGGAGTGTCCTCTCAACTGAAGAAAGTCACTTCAGCTCAATGTCGTGTCCCATTCTCAGAAGCAGCTCAGGTCTAGGGACTTCTGATGAATATTAAGGTCCAGCTTGCCTTGCAAATTTTGGATAACCCTGGTGGTTGACCAAGATGCAGATGTTCCCCCAAATATTGAGGCCTCTGCTGTGACTTCATTGCAACCTAACACCTCCCTGGATTCTATCTGCACAAGTGTGTTGCACAAGTTCTATGCAGAAGATTTCTGCAAGCTTACCCCTGTTTCAGAGTCCACTTCCTAGGAAATCCATCCGGCAGAGCAACCAAACCCTGGTAAATTATACTTTCTCATAGAATCCTAGAGTTGATTCATGCATATCTCCAAAATAGCAGTTGTAGAACTCAAAATTATTACACAATGATGTTGTCTCTCAGATAGTCTCTGAATTAAAAAAAAAAATAGAAGAAAACGCTGTGGAAACTCTGTGTTCACATTACTTATTAAAAACATCAAGTGTTACACATTGGAGGATAAGGATACTATTGCGAATGAAACACTGTAAATGGACAGATAGCCAGCATGTGTCAGAAAAAAAGAGTGTTTAACTTCCAGCATATCTGTTCCCTGAGAAGAAACATTTCCTAGTGAAGAACTGATGAACTTCCTGTCCATTCATAAGTACTAGTAAAGACCCTGCTAATGATATGTTCCTAAACTGCTGTTTCTTTCTATTTATAATCCTTATATGTAGGCCTCTTATTAAATAATTCTTAAAAAGTTACATTGAAATAAAATATAATTTAAGTTCCAAGTTTTAAGGCATGATCTACCATAGAAGGTGTATTTTAGAAAGCATCTTTATTTTTATTATTCTTAATATTAAACTGACATTTTATATATGCATTCATCATGAAATGACTACATAAAACAAATTAACATACTCATTTTGCTTTCTAAAAACATTTTCAGAATTGTCAGCAGCACACAATTTTAAAAATTTTGTCTCCACAAATTTTATTAATTAACACTTCTTTTTGTAGGAATTCCTTCCCTGAAATTCCCCAGAAAATGCTACAATCAATAATTAAGTAAACATAGCCTAAGAAATAAGGCAATACATATATACAGAATCACTGGTGTTGAGGAAAACTGCATGATTTCTACTTCCTACCAGCTCAAAGAGTCCTGGGGATCCATCTCAACTCTCCCAGTCATGGGGCAAGAGGGGATATGCGGGATTGAAAATCATCAGCAGTCAAACCTCAGAAACATTCATACACGTTGATATTCCCCTCCCCCAGATAAAAGTTCTCACCAATCTTACCATACTGAAACCCATGCTTTGTAGTCACATCGTACTCTAACACACTGGCATGGGTAATGAACTGCTCCTTTATTTATTTATCTATTTTCAAATCAAAATCCACCAATCCAGCAACAGACCTTTCTAAAATCTCAATTTTACCCAAATCAATTTTGTTTTTTTAATGGGAAATTATTGTATACTGCAATTTTCTCAGTAGCAGCTTATTAGTTTAAAAATACAGTTAACATTCAACTTCTAAGAAAAATTCCATAGAACAACACTTGCATATATTTTTCTAGAAAAACAGCATCCTGATGAAAGAGAAACTAAGGTTTAAACATTATTGAAACCTGAAGCACTACCCTACAATCCAGTAGTTCAAAATAAATAACCTAAAGATTTATCTGACTTCAACACATTCATGCAAGAGAATGTCAGAGAATATCGGACTCAAAGAAGGCATATTTCTGGTTATTGATAGAAGACGATGAGTTTACCATCAAGACTTTAATTCCTTTCTGTGATTCTATACAGATGTGCCCAACCCAATTTAGAGTTCAGTGCACACAGCATGCAATTACCTTCTAAGCATCAAATTCCAAATCACTTTTGGATTTCATACCTGTCAACACCCTTATTTGGAGCTTGATGAGAAATATGATGATTTTACATCTGAAAAATAATTCACCTAAGTTATCTTCAAGATGCTTTTATTTGTCAGGAAGAAGAAAAAAACCTTTCTATATAGAACTTTTTCATAAATAATTATTGACTTAGGATAGAAGCAAATTAACGTTTACTTGCTGCTTCTGAATTATGCCTCCCATTAAATTAGTCCCATATGACTTAGCAATGGTATCAGTGATAAGATTTAACTTGGCATTATACTTTTATACATATGAATTAAGGTAACTATCTCTTAGATATTACCATGCAAAGTATGCCTCCCAAAGTGAAATCACCCATTTCAAAGCTAACTGACGAGAGTTCTTTGAAAGAAGCCAAGGAAAGAGAAAGTTCTTCACAGCATGGCAACTTCCCCTCCCCTCACTGAAATTTTCTCTTCTCTCCTTTTCCTTCTCTACGCTTTCTCAGCACCTAGCGCATTAACATCATTAGAACTCAACAAATACCAATAAACCATGAACGAGTAATGGATATTCACAAACAAGAGAAGTAAGTAAAGAGTTCAGCCTTTCTCACTTACTGAAGTAAGAAAGAATCCAATCCAGAGAAACCACCGACTCCCTGGCTCATCTTCACCCATTGCAGGTCTGGTGATCAAAACCCACTGAAGTGAACCTGGAACAAAAGGTTCCTTGAGTTTTATGCACAGTGATACAGGGATGCGAGTTGGGCAGGTGTGACACAGGAGGGTCTAGGGGTAGAAAAGTTCCTAGAACTGAGTCACGATGTCAAAGTGGGGAAAATTGCCTATCCTGTAATGAGGGCTGGGCAGAGGCATCAGAAGAGGAGTGTCTGGGCCTGTGGTAAAGACACCTGGGTGAAACGAGCCTTGGGTGCAGCAGGTAAGACACCACTTGGGATGTAGTTATCGCACACCAGAATCCCTGGCTTCTAGTCTCACCCCTGCTTCCAATTCCAGCTTCCTGCTAAGGCACACCCTGAGAGATAGCAGGTGATGGCTCAGTACTTGTTGGGGTCCCTGCCACCCATATGAAAGACCTGGACTTAGTTTCCAGTACCTAGTTTTAGACCTAGTCCAGACCCTGGCATCATAAGCTTTTGGGGAGTGAACCAGCAGATACTCTTCTCCCTGACTTTCAAATGGTATGTAGGTAGGTAGATAGATGTAGAGATATTAGATACAGATATTTATAGTTATCTGTCTGTCTACAAAGAAAGACAGAGACCAACTGACCCAGGGCTGAAGGTGCTAGGCTAGGAATGAAGAGCCAGAGCAGGTGGGTTGACTGACCACTGAGTATTTGCCCACACTCCCAGCAGGAATGCCATACATTAGCTGCACACCAGCTCTCTGTGAGGCTAACAGGAAAAGCCTTTGTCATTGCCCAGGAAAACCAGCCTGAAAAAACACAGGTGGATTTTTCACCAGGAGATTGACTCCTCAAACGGTTAATATTTTCCTGATGCTGGTATACCTCAATATACTTACAAAAAAAAAAAAACAAAACCCTATAGTTATCAGTATGTTGCAGGGAATGAAAAGCTGCAAACTCTCATCTAAGAGTGAGAGGTTTTAGAAAATGGTTGAGAGCACTTACTAAACTTTCCTAACATTGCGACTCAGCTGCTAGGTGTGTGTCTCACGGAATAGCATCTGCTAGTGTTTCCAAAGGCAGGCTCCAGAGGATTCTGGTAGCATTATTCAGAAAAGCACAAACCTGAATGTAGCCCAGATGTTTATGCTGTAGTAGACTATATAAATAAATAGTTATATATGCATATTCAACAGGCTAATCTAATGACTGGCCTGCTATGACATACAAAGATATTGGGATATGAATCTCAAAGTATTTAGTCAAAAATGCAAGATGTGAAACAACAATATTCATATGACCCTATTCATTACTTTATTCAGTGTTTTAAAGCAAAATACTGTGATCTGAAATGTTTAGCTTTGGGGAATATGAAGGGTGGTAACGGAGAGAAGGAAGAGAGATGTCTTCTGATGTGTTTACCTACATGATGGTTACACAGCTGAGTTCCCTCTGATTGTCCACTGAACTGTAAATTTATATTCTGTGCATTTTTTCTGTATATGTAATATATATGTGAATTAAAAAATGTTCAAGTATCTCACAAATTGCAGCATATTATAAGTTTTCATAGCAACTGATACTAAAAATGGCTAAGTTGTCCAGCTAAGAGATAGACAATACAGAGGTAGTAACAGAAATTATTAATAAGGAGGGGGAAGCACCAAAATGGCAACAAAGAAGGGAAATTTGAAGGCAATCACAGCAACAGTTGCCTTTGGGCAGAGTGGGTATTTGCTGATTGAGCGTGGAAAGGAAAGGAAAAATAATCCTGTAATTGGGCATATACACTAATAACATATGGGAATTTTGTGATTTTAGAAGCATCTTAATTTCATAACTTATTAACAATTCTTTTAGCAAACAGAAAAATCACCCAATAAAAATAAGATTTTAAACTATAGTTACTATGTAAAAGAAAAAAATACAGAATGTGGGTAACTTACTCATTATGTTATTTTGTGTCTTTGAGGAATCAAGCATTTAAGATAGTCCTGATGAATACATGATATGCAAAATTCAAAATACAAGGCATATTCTTTATCAACAGATGCATTTTAATGTAAAAATACATTTGGTACTGAAATCCTTTATATATAACCTGCTATTGGCCAGTAGGTATAAGGGGATGGAAAAGACAGGTCCAAAAAGGACACTTGGATATTCTTTTTCCTGATTTCTTAAAGGCCCTTCTTCCAAATCACAGCATCTGGAAAAGAACTTTTACATGGGAAACAAAGTGCACACTCTACCATTTTACTTGGAATCATGCTTCACTCTCAGACAGACTGACTGTCAAATTGAGAAAATAGGGAACAGAAAAACGCTCAATGGAACGTTAACCTAATCATGGGTACTCTAAGTGGCAAAACTTTAGGGCACAAAGGTTCTTTGATTCCAAAAGCTTTATACTGGCTCTTCACTTGGATTGCCTGGTGTCTGAAAGAACGTAAACTGTAATCTCTTGAATAACAACCACACATTTCAACAAAAGGAATAACCTCAAGAATCATTCAAGGAAGAGGTAATAAAATAGCACTTGAAAGGATCAAGAGCCTTTAGTTCTTTCTGGAATGTCTCATCCCACATGCCCTCATTAGCAATAAGGCCAGTAAGGAAAGGCTATTAAATGGTGCAATCTGGCTCTTTTTTCTCTGATGGATGAACTGTAGAGAAATCATGCTGAAATTTGTAGGCTCATAATGTGCTGTGGAAAAGGTGTGGGGATAGTTATTTGTCACACATTTGTCATGGAAGACTTATTCTTTTAAGATCCACTTAGTTTATAATTGCAACCACATTTAGCTGAATTCCTGTGGAGCAAGCACTGACAACTGAAAGTCAGTCAGCACTTTTCAAGAGGAAGTAACTCCTTGGCCATCGGGCCATTTAACGCTTGAGGATTTATGGCTACCAAATAGGACCCTGGTGTCCCAAAAGAACCAAAACAGAATCCACTGGACGGAAACTTAACAGGATAAATAACTCTCTACCTTTAAAAAATGTATGCTTATCAATTTGTGTGATAAAACTATGTAAAGAAAATAAATTTTCTGAAAAGTAGCACATTTCCAACTTTTAATATGAACATGTTTTCTTGGTTCTAGGAAGAATCTTATGATTTCTGTTTTCTGATTGCTCTGTTAAAATTAAAACTTCACTACATTTTAACCCAAGTGAAAAATATGAGAGTACTAAATATATGTGCCCTAGAGTGATTCATGAACAATTTTCCAGCATACGTGGAACTCAAATACTTCATGTGTTCACACTGGACTCTGTGTTACTGGAAGTCTTAGAGTCGAGATCTGCTTAAGTAGATCCATAAATCATGCTGGCACCAGTTCTTAAGGCCTTTTCACGGTCCTCCACTGATGATTTTGTCAAGAAGACTCCATGACAGCGAATTCCAATGCCACAAGCATAAGGCCTGTGACTTACCAGATTCTGTGGGGGATTTTCCCACCTTTTCTACCTGTGTTTGATTTCACAGTACTAACCTCATCTTTCCAGTAAAAACTGATAATGAACATTTTAATTATTGTACAATATTATTTTTCTTAAAGTACAAATTTTAATTTGCCTTGTTAAAATTTTTGTATTTGCCCACTACTTTATCTTCAAATTTTTCATATTTTTCTCTAAGATGACATAGAAATAAAATAGTTTATGTAATATTTACCTGTTTTATGTCTTTCATTATGGGTCTTGGAATGAAATTCACTTTTCTCATGTTTCCTTGTAGTATATTAACATGATTTCCCCTTTGAAAGGTCTTGATTTATGTTATTCTAATTCTTTCCTATATTACTATAATTGCTTATATTAATTTACTCAACATATTTTTCTTCCTAATCAATTTCACTTCCTCGTTACAGATTTAAACATTTGCAGTATAATTCAAAATGAGCAAATGACTTGAATAGACATTTCTCAAGGAAAACACACAAATGAACAAAATGCATATAAAAAATGCTGAAAATCAATAATTACTAGGGAACTGCAAATCAAAGCCACAACAAAATTTAACTTCAGATCATTAGATGGCTACTATCAAAAAAGAAAAAAATAAACGTCAACAAGGATGTGGAGAAATTGAAATCCTTATACAATGTTGGTAGAAATGTAACATGGAGAAATGGCATGTCAGTTTTCAGAAAATTAAAAACAGATTTACCATATGGATTGGAAATACCATTTCTAAGTATATATCTGTACATGTCTGAATGAATTGACTTGGATCTTGAAAAAGTGTTTGTACAACCTTGTTCATAACAACATTGTTTCAATTGTTAAGAGATGGAAGTAAAAAGTGCCCATCAACAGATGAAAGGTAAGGGTTATACACACACACACACTGGGATATTATTTAGCTTTAAAAAGAAAGAATTCTTACACATGCAACAACATGGATTGATTTTGGGGACATTGTACCAAGTGAAATAAAAATACATACTGTATGACTGAGTTTATATAAGGTAACTAAAGCAGTCAAATTCAGAGAATCAGAAAGTAGAGAAGTGGTTGCCAGAGGCTAGGGCATAGGAAGATTAAAAAGATTCTTTTGAAGGATTGAGAGTTTTGGTTTTGCAAGATGAAAAATCTGGAAGATAGTTTGAACAAAAATGTGAAAAGAGACGATCCTTGAATTAGGATAGGGTACATCTTTATAAATATGTCATAAAGTTAAAAAATTATGGTTTGAATCACTTCAAGTTGAAGACTACTGTATGTAACTATATTTATATTCTTAAAATTGTATATATGAAATACATGAAATCTGTTCCCTTTATATATATATAGATTTAATAAAAATAGTAATTTGTCATGTGTATTTACAACAAACAAAAATTGTAAAAACATGTTACATACTAATCAAAATATCAATACTCACTTTAGATTAGAAAACAGTAAATAAGGCAGTTAAAAGATTAGAGTAAATTAAAACATTTAGGGGTGGGCTTCCAAGATGGTGGAGTAGGGAGGGAGCTTACTGCTCTACTCTAGGAGAAGATAGTTTTTAAAAAGTGGAGAGAGTGCAGTCTTAGCGAAGAGCTAGGG